ACTAGGCCCCGGCTGACCTCACAGGTGTGAGCCAGCTTGAGAACACTACTGTAATTACCTACTCAGTAAAAGCCAGGGTGGAAAAAAAAAAAAAAGAAAAGAAAATTCATTCCAAATATATCCTCTTGATGATGCTAGGTTAGCAGTATCATCTTTAGGCCTGTATATCATACAGAAATGCATATATTTGCAGTCTCTGTGCACTGCATGCATTATTGTGGCTGCAAATATGTTGCTTTTGGATCACAATTAGTAAGACAAATGGCTAAATGCACTTCACAGAGTACCTATCCATTTGCTTATAGTGGTGGTTTCCAAGTGAGGACTGTTAACAGAAAACAATTTTGTGAATACTCATATACAGCTGTATTTTTAACACCCAGAGATGAAAATAATACAGAATGACAAAAAAACTACTGTAAAATCAGTAACACTTGAAAATGCCATATTTTATGAGTACAACTGCATCCACTCAACTGAAAGGTAATTGTAGTTATAAGCATAAAACCAAATACTTATGATTCACTGACCACCCGTAGGGTGCATAAGGTCTCATAGGTCCCATTCATTGTCATGGAAATAGTCCTTGAAGAATCATACAGCTTTGTGTGAACTCTACTAGAAGTCATTTAAATATGGAGATCAGTTGTTACCCTGACACGAAGAGCAATAAATGAATTCAGAATGGAAGAAAGTAATAAATTAATTAACAAAAGCTAGGGAGGTGGTTTAGTTGAGTGAAGCCTGTGTACTCTAATTTTCCTTAAAAATCAAGAAATGAGCCAGGCACAGTGGCTGCTTCCTATAATCCCAGCATTTCGGTATGCTGAGGTGGGAGGATTGCTTGATCCCAGGAGTTGGAGGTTGCAGTGAGCTATGATTCCACCACTGCACCCCAGACTGAATACTCAGCTCTAAAAAAATAAATCAAGGAATGAGGCATCTTACACTCAAGACAGTTGGGAAAGAGGACCACACACTCTTATTAAATGTTGGGTTCTGTGGATCAGTGACTATAAAAGGGACCTTCATGTCACCAGTTCCAGACCTTGCACCCAACAAAATCTCAGGCTATTAGCAGCCTCCTGGAGCTAAGGCACTAATTTAGAATGTAATTTGTTTAATAGACAACACCACAATTGTTTTCTTAGTGGGCACATCTTTTTAAGAAAAAAATAAGTACATTATACCTCTTAATATTTACATTTTTATGTTAGATTCAGAGATATTCATGTGAGATAATTTAGGTATTGAATATGCATAAAAGATTTGATACATTGGGATGTTCCAACACATAATACTTATGATTAGGATAGAAAATGTGTAATTAAGGATTTGATTTAGACTTGTGCAATTAACTTGAAATATTATAAGTGGGCCAGAAATGGTGGCTCATGCCCCAATCCCAGCAACTCGGTAGGTCAAGGTGGAAGGATCCCATGAGCCCAGGAGGTTGAGGCTGCAGTGAGCCCTGATTGCTCTACTGCACTTCAGCCTGGGCTGCATATAGTATTGGAACAATTAATTCATTGGTCTCCAATCCTTAGCATACATCAGAATCACCTAGAAAGCTTGCTAAAACACAGCTGGCTAAGACCCAATCTCCAGTTTCCTATTCAGTGGATCTGGGAGGAAGCCTGATAATTTGCATTGCTAACAAATCGCAGGTGGTAGTAATGCTGCTGGTCCAGAAACCACACTTTGAGAACCAATGATTTAAAGGATCTTAACATTCACCTTATTCAGAAGGTAAATTTATTGTACTTATAATAATTATTTAAGAATTTGAGAAAGTTTGTTAAATGAGACTACTTAAAAAGAAAGTCAGTAATATTAAATTTACACATGCAGCTTAAAATATTTACAGGACGTTAATGATTTCAGTTTGTAAATACTATCAAACATGAATCAAGGGCCCTACAAAAATTGACCAGTGTCAGACATAAAATATTAAGATTTACATGTTCAGAAACCTCAGATTTTAAGTGAATGGCTCTACTAAAGTGAATATTAATAGTTAAAATAAGTTACCTCTGAATAAACTTTTCAGTGCACAAAACTCACTCCTGGGAACATCAAAAATCTAACATTGACAATAATCACTCCATTTTCCAGGTCTCCCAAGCCTGTGAATTAAGAACTGTTGGCACGAAGGACTAGCTAAATGTTCAGCCCTTACCCAGTCAATCTGATGCCTCTTCAAATGGTCTTACTCTTCTACTGAGAGTCAGGGCTTACTTTGAAGACAATGGACGGAAACAGAGTCCACATAATGACCGACTTGAGTCTGTCTGCCACAAGATGATTCTTCTGCAAATGCTCCAGGAGCTTTCCTCTCCAGCTCCCCTGCTAACTGTCATTGTCTTCATGCACAGTCAGAGGACACCACAGAAAGAAGAATGGCATGTCAAGATCAATCTTCCTCCAGAGACACTCCTTGAAATAATGTTGAATAGCTGCGTATTTGGAAATCTTTACTTCTGAGACCAATTATCTCTCTGCCACAATGTATTCAGCCTTCACTAGCTTGGCTTCTGTACCCAGCTGTTTTCTGTAAGGCCAGATGTATTTTGAATCACAGATGTGATCACTTAAATTAACTAATTTTTCTATGTTTTTTTTAAAAGGTACATTTATTAGCCTTTGTGGAATGCATTCCTTGGTTCATTTTCCATGTTAGAACTTTTATCCTTCATTTCTCTTTTAGACCTAGAAGCACTAATACATTATAAATTAAAACACTATGAAACCTACAGCTACCCTCAAGTTCAAGGAGGAAATAAAGTTAGTGAAGGTCCTAGCTTTTCATAGGATCCCATACTCCATTGAGAACCCAACTCTACTGAACTCCAAATGTCAATCAACTGCTTGAGGCCAGATCCTGCCCTAGGTATTCTTAGAGTTTAAACCTGTTTTATTTGGGTTACCAAAGCAATTTCTTATTTTCTTGGAATCTTAATTCTTAGATTTAATTTTAAATAAAAAATCTTAGATTTAAATTTAAATAGAATACAATCACAGAAACAAACAAAAACCCTTATGCTCAATTTATTTGAATCTTAAACTACCATAGTGAGTGCAGATAGTTTTAGACAAGACAAATGCTTTATTTAAAAAGTTATGTTATAGCAATTGACATGGGTTATGTGGTAGGGAGCAGGGGAATAATATCATCTCATCACCCATCCCAAGGTTCTTGGCTGATATTCCTCTAAAAAAAGACAGGTTAATAAAGAACAAGCAAAACAAATTTATTTAATACATTTTATAAATTCTACACAACACAGAGCCTTTAGAAATGAAGACCCAAAGACCCAAAGACAACTGTAAATTTTTATGCTTAGGTTTGATGAAAAATAGAGGGTCACATAAAGTATATATTTGGGCAAAAAAGGGAATAACTTAATGGTAATAAACTGGGGGGGTTGTTTGTTCAGATTCTTCTCTGTGCCTCTGTCTTCATTGCTTTCTGACACATAAAGGGCAAGACACCTGTCACATAAGGATCTCTAAGAGAAAGGAGGCAGGAGAAGGTCAGAGACCTTCTGCTTCTGCAGTTTTCTCTGTTTCCTTTGGCTTAAAGTACTCAGTATGCCAAGGTGCCATACATTGGGGTATCATATTCTGAGCCCCAACAGCTAGAAAAGGCAAATTTTATGAATGGTCCGAATTCTGGCTTTGCCCCACCTAAGGCTGTTTTCTCATTAAAAAACTAAAAAGGAGAATAATATCCACTTTTAATTTAAAATGTGTCTAGCACATAGAAGGGGCCCAATAAACATTCGTTATGTTTTTTTTTAACCTAAATGCATATTAATCAGCAAATGGCTAATCTCTGATGAAATTATATATGGCCATAATAAATTAGCTTTTTTAAAACTATGCAATTTATATTTCAAACAGAAAACTACTAAATTAAAAATAATATCATTAAACTATTTTTAAAAGTTTGTGTATAGAGACAAAACAAAAATCTACCACATTGCTAGTGAATTACTATAGAACTATGACCTTTTAAAAATTACCCTTATCCTTTCTATCTTTCTACACTCAGAGGATGTCAATTTAATTAGCAGAGACCAAATGAACAAATTCAACAAATAGAAACTTTTAACTTGTGAATAAGACCGCATTGGCACACTGAAATCTGCAGCGAAATACTATTGTAGAGTTGCTACTCTTATGGTTCAACCCTTGTACCTTATACCCGCACACCCACATGTTATTTTAAAAACTGCATCAAAATCATTGCTTCTCTTCTGGATATTGTTTATGCTCAAAACACTTTTAAAGTAGATTGGACGGTTATTATTTCTCTTCATTTATCAGGTGAGAAAGATACTGGGAATTGGTTCAGCCAGCTTCTTATTTTTGCAGCAGTTACTGATGTTGGCAACCTAGTAGATTGTGATTATTGGTCACCGTTTGCCTCTAGATAAACCCTCAATGACTAGCTCTGTGTGTAAAGCCAGTCACGCAGCTCTCTGCTGCATATCCCTACCTACAAAATGAGAATGGAGACATCTGCTCTCCCACCTCATTGGCTGATAGAAGAATCAAATAACAGTATAGGTGTATTTTTTTTTTTTTTTTTTTTTACAGAGTCTCACTCTGTTGCCCAGGCTGGAGTGCAGTGGCATGATCTCGGCTCACTGCAACCTCTGCCTTCCGTGTTCAAGCAATTCTCCTGCCTCAGCCTCCAGAGTAGCTGAGTCTACAGGCACATGCCACCATGCCTGGCTAATTTTTGTATTTTTAGTAGAGATGGGGTTTCACCATTTGGCCAGGCTAGTCTTGAACTCCTGAACTCGTGATCTGCCTACCTCTGCCTCCCGAAGTGCTGGGATTACAGGCATGAGCCACCATTCCCAGCAGAAAATGTTTTTAAA